ATACACCGATTCTTTTTGGCTTGTGTTGATACAAGATGTAATTTGTTCGTCGTGGAATTTCCTAATAAATTATCTTTATCCTAATAACCTAAAAAATAATCAAAAAAGTATTACGAATCATTACAAGAGAGCATTAGGAAGATAAAACGAATTTATATTATTGTCATTACACATGATTCGGATATACATAGTAAATCCAGACTTTCAGTTTAAACTAATATTTGGATACAATTTATTTTGTTTACAATAGATTCAGAGTTAATACATACGATTTTTAGTTGATTGGTATTGCCGTTAAAATTATTTGTAGTATCTAGTTTGCCTAAGCCGGATTTGTAACAATTATTTCTGGTTTTGTTGTTAACTGCGGTTAGTACAATTCTTATACTTGAAGTAAAAACGACGAACCATTGAACCTTTAGGCCAGATACTGGGATTGAGAACTTCATTTTTATAATCCAATGGATATGAAACTTTAAAATTTGCTTGGTACTCCGTAACCTTTAACTTCTTGAAGTAAAAATGTATATTTGGAGCATTTACCTTTAAATTATTGGTCAAATCTTCCGTTGTCTGTTGTGGAATTATATAACGGTGTAAATAAATAATGATTGATTGGAGTAAGATTTATGTCTGTTTACTCTTAATATTGGCTATGGGCATATGTGCTTGGTTGTAAATATAGTAATTGTCATCCAGTTCTAGTCTGTTAAAATGTAACTAACTTTCGCAATAAAATAATTACTAAAATACTAGATAGTTGTGTCTGAGATTAGCGAATCGACTATACATACACTACATACATTCAGTATCATTGTATATCCAAGATGGACGCCGCTACACAATAGCGGATTACTTATTTTTTCACAACTACTTCAATATGGGTATCAAATGAAAGGGTTTGACTAGTAGAAAAGAGTTTTTTGTATTTATAAATAATACTTCATTACTTACAACTATAAGAGTATTAGTATATTCTAAGTGTATTGTAAGTAATGAAGTATTTAACTTTTGTCAATATCTCATCTTAATAAATTTACAGTTTTCTCCTAATTAAGTCTCAAAATTGTCACTAAATATTGAGATATACAATAAATAAAGTTTTAATATTTTTTATTTGTAATTCCCATTTAAATATTTATTCCCTAGATATGTGTACTCCGATCCATATATTTGATCTTTGTTATTTATATTTAACGAATTAAACATTGACAGACAACTTTTGTATATAGCAAAAAGTAGATGAGCATTTAGTTTTTTCATAATTTAATGTAAGTTTGTTTGGTGAAAAAGACAGCAAATATTTGAAGTTATGTTAATGTAAGTTTGTTTATTTGCAATCATGTTTTTATTTTGAAGTCTTGTTCTGTTATAATTTTAAGATTTTTCCCAATTTTCGATCTAATTATGTTTCCAACAATTTTTAGTTTGAGCATTTTAGGAATTTCTTTGTTTCGTTTAAATCAAATATTCTCGTGTATAAAACCCTCTATATATTTTTATTTCCTAAAAATACTATATTCGTATTGTTGTCTGCGAGCGCTTTCACACCAGTAGGCCAACATCTGTGTTGATTTTTTGACCTGAGCCTTCGGAGAAAATAAATTTAATGTAAGTTCGTAGTTCTCTGGTTTTTATTCTGAACTATCCCTTGGCAAACCAAAATTTATTTTTTTATTGCTTCACTTAACGAGAGCTCGGGCGGACACGTCGGTGTCGGCTTACTCAAAGTCAAATTAATACTATTATGTAATAACTAATAATAATTACAAAGCAATAGTAATTACCTGTTATTATTCTTAGGAAATCTAAATAAACTTATTCCTTTTCCTGTCACAGATGAACATCCGCGAAACGCACAACAATAACCAGAAGACATTTTAAATACTTATAAATTAAACTTTTAACTATAAACTATAACTATAAACTTTTAACTACTAAATAATTAGATAAATGGTCGAATGCACTTGTATAGTCGAGAGTTTACCACAGATGCCTACGGACTATCGTAAGCATCTTAAAATTTAAGAAAACGCACGTGTTTTTGACAGGAAAGCACCTTATTTGGGTCATACGTATACAGAAAAAATACACGAATTCCGGGCCTCGTGTCGCTTCTCTGTGTTCGTATGTTCTCTGCTATTATCTTCTTTGTTTCTGCTATGAATTCATCTACTAGGTTTTTAGATGATAGATATATGCATATTCTACCGTTTGATGTACAGGATGCGAAAATTATATTTTTTGGTTCTATATGCTGACTTAATCCTTCAAGATAGTCATTAATTGTACAATTCTCTAGACTGTTAAATAGAATAGCTTGATCTTGACATCTTTTAAATGGATTTAAAATCCGACTAAAACCGGTGCTGTTTTACAGCTTTCGCTGTGATACCATTTCATGAAAATTGGATAATATAACTAATTTCAGTGATTTACCTAAATATTTAAATCCAAATAGATGAAAAAAGTATATTTTATCTACTCATGATTCCAATATTCAGTATACAAATCACTTTCACTTAGTTTTATACTTAATTACTTTTTCTAATGTACACATTGCATATTATTATTTATGTTTCTTAAATAAACTTGTTTTATTTTTAGACAACGACCACAGTTCTATAGAAATCTAGTCGAAATCCAAAAGCATGTTACCTTCAACCAAGTTAAAGGTATATTTGGTTTTGATGACAGCACAATAATTGGAAAAATTGCCTTTCCAGCCGTTCAAGCCACGCCATGTCTCTCGACCTCTTTTCCTGATATTTTCGGCAACAAGAAAATTCAGTGCTTTATACCGTGCGCTATAGATCAAGATCCGTATTTTAGAATGACGAGAGATATAGCCCCAAAATTAGGATTTCCAAAGCCAGCTTTAATATTATCGAAGTTTTTCCCTGCTTTGCAAGGAGCACAAACAAAAATGTCAGCTTCCGATCCTAACAGCACTATATATTGCAATGACACTCCAAAGCAAGTGAAAAATAAGATAAATAAATATGCTTTCTCGGGTGGACAAGCTACTATTGAAGAACATAGGAAATTAGGAGGAAACTGTGATGTTGACATTTCATATCAATATTTAAGGTTCTTTATAGAAGATGATGAAAAACTAGAGCAAATTAAAAAAGATTATTCAAGTGGAGCGATGTTGACTGGAGAATTAAAGAAAATACTTATTGAGACATTAACGCCCCTAGTTCAAGAGCATCAAAAAAGAAGAGCAGAAGTCACAGACGAGATTTTAAAACAATTTGTTACACCTAGGAAGTTGAATTTTGATTATTAGATGTTGTTATTTACAATTTTTAATTTATTTTTTACCAAAAATGCTTTAAAGAAAATAAAAGATATACCATTAAATCGCCTTTTATTCCATATACTCGTATATCCATCTCTCTCTTCAATCCTGACCCCCCAGGGGGAGTGTAGTGGTCGACGTGATGTCGTGTATTGTCCGTCTCCAGAGATCTCTGTCTCTGGTCATTTCTTTTAATTCATGCATAGGTCTTTGGCATATTCCTGTAATTTGATCTATCCATCTTGTTGGGAATCTTCCTCGTGATCTTCGGCCTTCTACCTTTCCTTGTATTATGAGTCTTTCCATGTTTTCTGTGTTTGCTCTCGTAACATGCCCAAAATATTTTAATTGTTGGAGATGGACTTTACTAGAGAGTCGTTGGCTAACTTTTAGCTCTCTTAAAATTGAATTATTTGTTCTATGGTCGGTCCAAGGAATTCGTAACATTCGTCTCCAACAGAACATTTCAGTGGCGTCTATCTGTCTTCTCTCCGATTGTCTCAGAGTCCAAGATTCACATCCGTAGGTCAGTATTGGGAATATTAAGCAGTTGATCAACCTCATCTTTATCGCTCTTGAAATTTGACAGTCCTTCCATATTTCGGTCATTTTTGCTGTGGCAACTTTTGCTAGATCACATCTACGTTTAATCTCTTCTTGTAATGACCTTGTGTTTGTGATTAATGATCCCAGATATAAGTATGAGCTCACAACCTCGAACCGGTCAATTGTGGTTATGTGTGGATGATTGTTGTGTAGTCTATCCACTATCATGATCTTTGTCTTTGATATGTTTAATTGCAGACCAAATATTTTACTTTCGTTTTCGATCAGTCGTATAAGTTCTATCAGCTCTGCTTGACTATTTGCAAGAAGGGCTTTGTCATCTGCGAAACGTAGGTTGTTTAGTTTATGACCATTTATTGAGATGCCCTTTTCCCATCGTTCAAGTGCTCTTTGCATAATATACTCCCCATATATGTTGAATAATTGTGGAGATAGTATACATCCTTGTCTGATACCCCGTTCTGGATGAAATTCGTTCGAAAGTGTGTCAAGTACTTTAACTGATCCAGTAGTGTGTTCATATAGTTCGGTTATAAGCATAATTAGATGTTGTGGTACGCCTTTAAATGTAAATTGTGACTCTGATGAAGAGATAATATCCAGGATCGAAATATCACGTAAGGCTTTTATGACCTGGAAACCAGTTTTATGCAACAGAAACCTGTCAATGAACATTCGTAAGAAGGTCCTGAAATGTTATGTGTGGTCGATCCTATTGTATGGTTGTGAGACATGGACGTTAAAAACCACAATGCTAAACAAGTTAGAAGCATTCGAAATGTGGTGCTATAGACGAATCCTAAAGATATCGTGGGTTTCGCACACTTCCAATGAAGATGTTCTTCAAATGATCAACTCAGAACGTCTGCTCATAAACACCATAAAGAGGAGAAAAACAGAATACTTCGGTCATATAATTAGAGGACCCAAATACCATTTACTTCGCCTTATAATACAAGGAAAAGCGCTCTATATCTTATAATGCAATTTATTTCCATAAAATATTTGGTCTAAAACTTCGGTCTTGCTTTCATATAAAACTATTTGTTTTTGTAATAATATACTTACAAAACTTCTGCATGTGATGTCAAATTGACAATAAAAATAATCAAAATAAAACCAAACAACTTTAAAATGTTTATTTTATAAATAAATCTCAGGTTTTCACTGAGGTAGTTGATGTATTCGTGCATGTATTAAGTCTAACAAGCACCTTTGCTTTGCTAAATTTTTTTAGAACTGGACACTGTAAGCCAGGTTTGTCCGAAATCCAACCTGGTGATTCCGTCATACTACAAGACTGGCTTATACTTGCCGATATGTCATCTTCGTAAAAAGGAATTTTAGTACGTAAGTACGCGGCGGAGTCTTCTATATCACGGAATGCCTAAAACGTAATTGTAACCACTGTTAAAATAAGAAATTACAACACAATACAATATGGCTATTAATAAACAATACTGGAACTATTTTTGTTTAAATATTGTTTAAAATTAGAGGGTCATTAACTAATAAAATTAACAGGATTATTTGACATAAATATTAACATATAAAGTTTGGTTTTTGTTCATTATTAGCGCTTTCTCCTCTATCCACTGATGAACATAAACTTCCTCAGGAACTTCTGCGAGTGAATAATAAGAGTAAAAAGTAATGGCATGTCTCGCGAAACAAAAAACCAAAAATGTAATGCCACAAATTAGTTGCATTGCTCCTGTAGTGATCCTTTCCCAAGTTAATATGTTCCTTTTCTTACTTGGCTGCACCGTACTGAAGACGAGCAATAGTCAGAAATACGTATATACGGCTGCATTCCATCTATATACCATTTTTAGTATATATATAAAAAAACATAATTTAATAATTTTTTGCCACAAATTAGTTTTTCTGGTTATTTCAGTGGTCAAAACATATATGCATCGGCGTAGCTAGCCTCAGTTTTCAAGGGGGGCCTGGGCCCCAGTGTATGGTTGATTAAAAATTTAATTTTTTTATTTGCCGTGCAATGAAAAAATAAATAGAAGAAATGCGTTATAATAGTATACTGGTTTTATTTTTTTAATAAAACCAGTATACTATTAACAAAATTAACATTTTAATTAACAATTAATATTAACAAAATATTACTTACAAGAGAAACTTCCTACTCTGTTCACTAAAAGAATTTACAACACTCTCTAAGTCTATGTCCACATCTTTTTCTATATACAACAAAGCCAAATCTGAATGTCTATTTTGAGTCATTGTCGTTCTTAACCAGTTAAAAATCCGCCTCATGGCAGAAAAAGACCTCTCGCACGTTGCGCTTGAAATAGGCAAAATAATCGATACTTTAAAAAGTTGGTAGAGGTTGGTATATGTTTTTTCTGAATCAATTAAGTTTTTTTTTATATATTCATAACAAACAGTTTCGTTAGATTGTAAAATACAATTATTTAAAACGGTCATTTCTGCACTTAAGGCAAAAGTGTTGATATTTAAAATTTTGCGATATTGTTCAATGAATTTGTCTGAACCCTCAAAATCTAACTGAAAAAAATGATTTACTGAATTGGCAAGCGCCATACTTTCTGGTGAGAACCTTTTGTTCAGTATGAATAATTCGGTAAAAAATGTTTGCCCTCCAATACTCAATGACTCCTACGTTAGCTCTGGAGCATGTGGCGTCTATCAAACCCAATCCTACGGTTGTTTTAGTGACGAAGTCAACGAGCTTGCTACTGGCTTGCTTTTTTCTTTTGGCTGGCGAAATTTCCAATAAAATTTGGTATTCTGTGGCAAAGTTCGATATGTTTGTATGAAGATGGGTATAATATTGTTCATTTCTCATTCCATCTAACGAAGTCATAACAATTTTAATAACCTTAACTGCTTTCCCCAGAGTTGCACCTTTCTCCTGGAGGCTCTTTGATATTTAAAATGTTTAACACCTCATCCAATACAAAAAGATGAATTATAAATGATGGTTGTTTAATGCTGGATAATATCCCAACTGCTGTAATTGACTGTTTATTATTTGTATGAGCAACTTCGTTTTCCAGTGTTGTGAGGATTCCCTCGAAACATGTTTTAACAGCGTGGCAAGTCGTATATCGACACACCCAACGAGTATCTGACAGATTTTTCAACTCCCTGGGACAATATTCATGTCCTTCAATATTTGTTTGTATTTTTTATGGTTTTGAGGATCTGAAAAATGTTCGTAAAGTGCTTCCAAAGTACAAAAAAATGTCGATATTGAGGGAACATTTTTACAGGAATCTACCAGAGCCAAGTTAAGTCTATGAGCTAAGCAGTGCGTGTAAATTGCAGCTGGAAATTTTCTCTCGCATTTGTGTTTGAAGACCACTTGTATTGCCTGACATCACCACAGCTCCGTCATAGGATTGCCCTACCATCTGCAAGTCGCTAAGATTAAGCTCTTCCAATTTTTTGTAGATTAAAATGAATAAATCTGTAGCCGATCTATCTTCTGAATGTTAAGGTGTGGATTTGGAAAATAAATAGTCGTACTTTACTACTATTATAAAAGGCTTTATTTCCTATAACATACATACTAATTAACTAACCTAACTTAAGCCACCATACTTCTTACTACCACCTACAACTACATGATACTCATTGACATTACTATTATTGTCTGTCATGTCAACCCATGACACTATGGGTGCGTTCCGCTTACTCTTACACCAATATATCTGTGTATACAATATAAATGTATTACATTCTCAACACGCCTCCTTACATTTACATTGTATTTACATTAATTCAAATTTAACATACTTCGAAATTTTTCAAATTTATCTTGGCCCAAGGACTTCGTAAAAATATCTGCAATATTATCATCAGAATCTACTTTAACCACATTTATAACATTTGCTTTAACATAATCATTTACATAATGATAATGAATTTCAACATGCTTAGAATTTTTTGTAAAATTGCCATAATTAGCTATACTAATTGTACCAGTGTTATCTTCATAAACATCAATTGGCTTTATTATTTCAATATCAAATATTTTCAACAATTCTTTTACAAATATCAATTCACTTACTGCTTCTGACAATGCTACATACTCTGCAAAAGTTGAAGCTTTTGTAACGCTTTTTTGTTTTCTAGATTTCCAATAAATTACATTACCAAACAATCTTATTACAAAACCAGTTGTAGACTTTCTATCTAAATGATCACCTGCCCAATCGGCATCCACATAACAATCAATAATACTTACTTTTTCATTTCTGTTATAAAACAATTTTAAATCTTTAGTTAAGCATAAATATTTCAAAATTCGTACAGCATATTTAAAGTGCGTTTCATTATAGCAATTTTGAAATCTACTCAGATAATTTACGCTGAAACTTATATCAGGCCTTGTTGCCGAACTTATGTATAATAGTGCACCAATTAAATTTTTATATTTAATATTTCTTTCACAATGATCAGATTTATCAATTTTTAAATTTACTTCCATAGGTGTATTATACAGTTTACCTTTTTCTAAATTATATTTTTTCTTAATAATTCAATATATTTATTTTGATCCAATCTCATTTCATGTTTACTAGAATCATAATCAACAGTAATACCAAGATATTCTTTAATTTCACCAATATCTTTCATTTTAAATTTTTCTGATAATAAAATTTTAATCCTTTTAATTTCATTTAAATTTCTACCACAAATCAATAAATCATCGACATAAATTAATAAGTAAATAATATCATTTCCAATTTTATAAACGTACAAACAAGGATCAATATTACTTCTTTCAAAACCTAAATTTATCAAAAATGTATCTAGGCACTCATACCATGCCCTTGGACTTTCTTTTAAACCATATAAAGCTTTAACTAATTTACAAACTTTACTTGTTCCATCTTCATAACCCTTAGGTTGTTTAATATAAACTTCAGAAATTACTTTACCATTTAAAAAGGCTGTTTCAACATCCATTTGTTCAATTACTAGGCCCATTTGACAACAATATGACAATAAAATCTTTAATGTTTGCATTTTAGCCACAGGTGAATAAATATCATCAATTTCATCAGTTTGTTGAAAACCTCGTACAACCAATCCAGCTTTATAAGTATTATCAGACTTTTTAGTATAAACCCATTTAACATCCAGAATATTTTTGTTTGTATCATTTTTAACCAATTTCCAAGTTTTACTTTTATTTAAACTATCAATTTCTTTGTCCATAGCTGTTTTCCAATACTTACTTTCATTAGAATTTATCGCCTCCTCAAATGTATGTGGTATATCAGTTCTACACATATTTACAAAAATACTACTATTATATACATAGTAGTCATCAAATTTCTTTGGAGGATTTTTGGCTCTGTGAGATCTAGGTAACTCAGGTTCATTTTTATTCACACTATCATCCATACTTTCATTTGTACTTTCAAAAGTTTCATCTATTGAGTCATTTCAGAGCTTTCATCAATTTTATCAGGGTAACACTCTTCATTATTATCATTATCTGATTCGTTAAAGTCTAAACCTATACACTTAACGTTTTCTTCAACAATATCCACGTGTCTAGCAACAATGACTCTGCCATTTAATAATACACGATAACCAACATTACTATAACCAATTAAAATTCCCATATCAGCTTTCTTATCCCATTTAGAGATTCTCTTCTGTTCTGGTCTTCGTACAAAAACTTTACTTCCATACAAACGCAAATTAGAAACATCAGGTTTCTGTCCAAAAAATATTTCATATGGAGTTTTCTTTTCAATTGTATCAGATAAAGTACGATTTTTCAAATAAACCGCAGCACAAACTATTTCAGGCCAATATTTTTTATGAATATCTGCTTCAGCCAACAAACATCTTGACATATCCATTATAGTTCGATTAAACCGTTCTGCAGTCCCATTCAATTCATGTACATATGTAGGACAATTATCAATTACTATACCCCTTTCTTTTGCAAATCTGTAGACTTTACTGTTCAAATATTCTTTCCCATTATCACATCTTAAAATCTTTATTTTCTTTCCAGTCAAATTTTCACTTTCATTCGTATATTCATTCAAACAATCACATACTTCTGCTTTTGATTTTATAGCATATACTTTAGAAATCTTACTATAATCATCAATGAAAGAAACAAAATAATTTTCACCTTTAAACCCAGTAGTTCGAAAAGGCCCACAAACATCAGTATGTACAATCTCTAAAATATCTTTAGCTTTTTTTCTACTGTTTACAAACGGAATATTATGCATTTTACTTTCAATACAAATCTTACATTTCATAAATTCAGATTCAAACTCATTAGGAATTCCATTCAACAGCTGATCTTTAGATAAAATATTCAAATATTTAAAATTTACATGACCTAATAAACGATGCCATTTTTCC